GAATCTGGTGACGCGCATTTCAGAAGAAGTACGGGACGAAACTTCATGAAATAATTTCTGTGTGCCAGGAAAATTGTGGAGAAGGTTGTTATATGTACCTTTACACAAGAACATCACGAATTTCGGAGAAAAAAGGGAAAAACCTACTTTTTGGCTGCATCCGCCATCTTGTTTGTTTGGGTAACGAACGGCGTGATTCCTCCCCTTGTAAATGTTGACATTGCTCATATGAAAAACAAAACTTAATTGCAACTTTATAACGGGAACAAACATAACGGAGCGGGTAAACATAGTCACATACCGAAGACGAAAAAACAAGAAGGGACACAAGTGTCACCACAATTGCATGTAACAATGAACGGTCAACAGCATAAGCACTGCTTGGGAGTTTAAACCAAATAATGATGCATTAAAAATCACTTTTATCCTCAACATGTAACTTTTCAATTAGGTTGTGTAAAGGAATGAATTCCCGCCAAGCGAAATTTTAACAGTTATTATGGTTACAAAAGATGAAATAAGTAAAACCCAGAAATGCTCATGTAGATGAATATAAATAGGAAACCAAAATGCCCGTGACAAAAGTACTCAATATCTTTAAAAAAGACTATCACCAACTACGAAGCAATGCAGAAGACAAAGAATAAGACAATTCAGTCCCAATGGCTTTTAGATCAGTCTATCATAGTCTTCCACTTAGTCCGTCAGATGCAATCGAAAGTGGAAATCGTAGTGCCCAAGGGGTGACCACTAAGCATGCAGTATGTTTTAAAACGTTTAATTATTAAACCAATATCTTACAAACTTTGTACATCACATCTTCATAGATATCAGGCTTGCTAATCTCTATTCGATTTGAATATTGAAATTAAATTGAAATCAATAAAATTTAGTAAAATATGTCAGTAATTTATGATAGCGGTAGCCATGTTTAAGAATAGTTTACCCCAGCAAATCTTATTAACTGAAATATATTTACTTGCACGGGGTACATTCATCTAAACGCTGATAATTGACTATACCGAACTCTTTCAGTTCTTTAGGATAGATATTAAACATCATTTAAGATCTGAATTATTTGAATTAAAAAATATTGTCAAGGTATCAAGAAGTGTTATAAAATGCTACTATTACATCTTGTTGTGTATCTTCAGAAAGGCTCAACTTAAGTCCCTTTCATAGCTATATAAAAAGAATTCCTATGATTTGTTTTAAAAGGGTATTACCAAATATCAATATGTTCAGGAATGAAATGACTTAATATATAGCCAACCTAAATTGAATTATAATAAATTATTCAAAACAGATTTCATATTCGAAAAATACATTGCGGAAATTGTAAAAGAATGACATAGAAAACATTGTAAAATTTTAGATTTAGTGCTCATTGTCAAGAAACAAAAGTTGCTAGATTTATTAATATACCTAGGTCTGATCGCAAATGTAAAATGTGTAATCAAAATGTTTATAATTCAGAATTTCATTTTAGTTTACTTTGTTATCCAAAACACAACGAACTGCGCATAAATTACAATATTAGATAAAATTGGCCTAGTATAAAAAAATGTCTCTTTATGTCTTACCAATTTATGTCTTACCAAAATACCAGTACATTGTGAAAACAGTGTCAAAATTTGTACAACTGATATTGCCAATTTTACATCTAATACCCCAACAATGTTTTGTATTATATAATGACTTACAGTAAACTTATCTCAGTAATAAGAGACGTTTATGTTAAATGACAACCATTGCAACATGGTCTGGGGTTTTTGGGAAACACTGAGGTAATCTATGATTATTTAATCAAATCATTTTAGAGAAAAATATATCATTAATATAAAAGGTATTATTGTGTGCTTTGTAGAGCATTTGATAAAGATCGGCAAATTGAATAGATTACACTGGAGGATTCTGATATCAATAATATAATCACATGAACACATTAACTGGGCATTAAAGGGTTAACACTTGATTTCATTTTTCTAATATAATTGTAATTCATTGATCTCAATTAATATCAATACCATTAGATACGGTGATAAGAGGAATAAATGCTGTGAATTATTAACTGACTATAAATATCAATAACAATCATCGTGACATCAAATCGTAAATAATTTTGTTGGAAGATACACATGTAGTGAATGCAATTTGAACAGTCAGTTTAACATCATTTGTAACAAGTCTATGAATAGATTATATTAATCAGGTTAATATACACAAGAACATCTACTATCAACTATATATTTGAAATTATGTCCAGTGTGAAACATCCTTGGAATCCAATTGTCCAGGAGTAACATTTCTAATTTTCACGATTCTCGTAATTCGTAATTGACGATAATTCAAGGACTAAAAGACCACATCATTTCGGAATACCCATCAAACAGTGTCAAAGCATTCTCGCGTAGAAAAATATGCTCATTTGATCATCCGTGTTCGGAGTAAGGTGATCCACTTAAATAAGGAATCATACACCAATAAATTTAAGATACACTTAAAATAATGAAAATGCGACAAGGATTCATATTTTATTTAATACTCTCACTGACAATGCAATGTATCAGCCAGTCTACACCAAGTGAAAATAGAAAGTCTGTTAAAGAAGAAAGCGTTGAGGATTTTAAGCGTCTTTGTCCTTTTACAGATCTGTGTTTTAGCCCAGCGCGTAAAAACATTACATTTAGCAGTAGTTTCTCGGAATATCCTTGCTGTGGGGGGTGTACATGTGAGGAAAATTGCGGAAACAACTGTTGCCCAGATAAACCAGAACGATTTTTGGATAAATTAGAAGTTAAAGAATTGAAAAATGCGCATGAACAATGTGTTTACGCTCAACTACGACCTTATAGTACAACAGCGTTAAATGGGAAATCGTATAAGATGGTCAGCAACTGTCCGGCAAGTTACATAGATCAGGATGTTACTTCTAAATGTTTAAGAGAGTATCATGATTTTGATTTTGAAAAAGATGATTTTAAAACACTCATGCCCGTTTCTTCAAACATATTAAATGTAACATTTAAAAACATTTTCTGTGCAATGTGTAATGCAGCTTCAAGCTATGATCTGATTTTTTGGGATGCTAAAGTTGAATGCGAGAATGAAAAAAAGTTTTCGCTTTTACATGTGTCTGAAATTATGCTGAAACTTTTGGAGGAACGTTTTTGTCAAGTTATGTTTGTACCTTCACCTTCCACGCCATCGAACGTTGTCAGCATCTGTGGAGATGTAATAGACAGATGCAATGTGACAAGTACGTGGAAAAAGTACGACACTTACATTGAATCAGCATGTCATTCATACTCATCAACGTATGATAATTTCAAAAACATACATTGTTTTATATGCAATGGGCATAGCATAAATGATATTATTGATATATGCCTGATGGGAGACGATCCGGGCGGTGACAGCTCATTTGTAGCTCTGCTGGACTTCAATAATTTAGAACGTTCATCATCGGAATCAAGCACTTCAAGTATAACAACATGTTCTTCTGGCTCACGGTATGATCCATATAAGGTAAACCAATAATATATTTCTTCTTTTCTTCTATTAGTTTGCTACCTTTTTATTATCTTTAGCGATCTATGTTTCAAAGCGAAAGGCTAAGTAAGGACATTAAAATTTTGGAAAAGTTAAACTATTTTTTTATTATTAATATCTGATGATGAACTAAGATTTCGTCACTTCATCATTTCAGAAGAAATGTAGACCCCTATCGTGCCCGACAGGAATGCGTTTGTTAAAGGGTACATGTTCACCAGTTTACAAGGAAATAGATTATTCTCTTCGTGGTGTTATATTTGGACTGCGTTATAAACTTTTACCTACACGTACGGCGAAGGAAAGCAAGACGAATAACCTGTTATCAATGGGGTTGACTATGTACGAGGATATAAAATCAAAGTTACATATTATGCTAACAACTATTGGTACCCCAGAAATTTGTTCATTTAATACTTACGTGAAGTTAAACACAAGTCTGGAAGATACGATTTTGTCAATGCATCGAAGTGGCGTATCCAGTTTATTGCCCTTTGTTTCGTACATAGCAGTAATTGTTGACTTCAATCTTAAAGGCCTAAAAAATAGTTCTGCTTCTGTAGAAGAAATGGCTATGTTTTTCACCACAAGTAATTATTACGCACAATATACCGTTCAATATTTCACAGATGATACTGAAATGCCTCGAGATTCTAGATACTACATCCTTAACGAGGATTTAGTAACAAAATTAAATCAACTTAATCTCGACTCTTTTCACAATGAAATTATCATTAACGGGCAAGTCGATAGAAATGGATTTGGCTTTTTGTTTTTTCCATTTACACCTTTGTCACCGGAACCAAAATGTGGACCAGATTTGTTAGTTCAACCAAAACCATTCTGTCCTCGCATCAAACTTAATAATGAAGAATTTAAAATAGATTTATCAAACAAGAAAGTAAGTTTTCTTGAATATGAAGCATCACCAGGGAACCCAACACCTGATATAACATTTTCAAATATTTTGTCTTCAGGTCAAAATGGAAGTTTTTATGCATGTAGCGATGAGTACTTTTCACAATTACCATCAGTAGATGCTGTTTTCGGTAGCCGTTATAACGAGCTTGTTATATTGACCATAGTTTGTCTCGTATTTTCTATCATATCTCTTGTATTTACCTTTATTATCTATTGTGTACTTCCAAGATTAAGGACAGTGCCAGGATTGAATAACATGGCTCTCATTTTTCATCTTTTCTTCGCCCATACTTTGGCATTAACAATATCTGTAACACGCATTAAACTTCCTTGGCTTTGTTCAACAGTTGGAATTCTCCTACATTATAATCTATTGTCCAGTTTCTTTTGGATGTTTATTTCTACTTTTCACATGATGAATGCTTTTGTTAAGATAAAAGAAAAATCTGTTTCTCAAGACAAAATGAAAAAGTTTGGTTACCATATAATCTTTACGGAATCTCTGTCAGCTATTTTGGTTATTTCTTATATAGTAGTTACGATCACAACAGACCAGGATTCTGAAGGTTTTGGCTATGGTGGTTCAAACTGTTACATTCAAGGGCCCAATATGATACTTTATTTTGTTGCTATTCCTCTTGGGCTTGTTATCACGGCTAACCTGGGTATGTTTAGTTATGTTGTATGGAGTGTGTCTCGAATTCCTGACATGGCACATAACAGCAGTCATGAACGCCATAATTTACTGATATTTGCAAAATTGTCAACTTTGACCGGTATCACATGGCTATTTGGATTCTTATATCAGTTCACTAATGTTCTCTTGTTTGCATATTTCTACATAGTCTTTAATGCCGGACAAGGTGTGTTCATAATGGCATCCTTTGTAAATAAACGTACATTAGATATGCTTCGTTCTAAGGTTTACACAAACACAAATGGCAATGTTGAAAGCTCTACACAGTCAACCAAATTAAGGACTGTAAGTAGAAAATTTGAAATTAGATAAGTTAATCAACAAATACCTTAATCAACAAAGCCTTACGTAATATTACATCTATAAGTATAGAACCAGAATACAGACATCGTCATCAATGATAAATTAGATTCTTAGGGGTATAGATTTTGTCGTGACAATCATGAATGTTGTTTGTTTAAATATATTGATAAAATAAGTTATAACTCGCAATTCACAAAGTCATTAGCAGTAATGTTTTATCGTCAGGAAATCTCTGCAATTTCAAGTGTGCCATTCAAATGATGAATATGATAAAAATCACGTCGTATATCTGTATCAGAATTTTCATGACACTGGAGTAAACATGTATCTCGTTGATAGCAATGTTTTTATAGCATAAATTATAATGATATATTTGTTTACCAGAGGCAAGAAATTGCATCGGTTATTTTTCATCTGTTTAAAATATAAGTGAAATGTAAAGTAAGGCTTGTACTATCACTACATGGTTGCACAGAATTGCCACTTAAATGGACTAAGAGGCAATTTCTTTTGTTATTTTCTTTTGTTTAATAGAGGGCCATGGCCTTTTATTCTTTTGTTACGGAATGAACTCTATTGTTCTCTTTTTTCTGTTTACAGTTACATGGCCCCCTACTTCTTTTAAATAGCACATTTGTTTCTATACAGTACGTGAATATTGTTTTGTACTTATCGGAAGAATTATCAATTAAGGAATATGCCCTTTTTACCATGTACATATGTTTTCAAATAAGTTTTTAGTATAACAAGAGCACTGCATGCGGTGTTTACGCTCGTCTGTAAGGAGAGGCCGGGATCAGTAACTTATTTATCGTTATTATAACTTTCAAACAGGAATTACCTCTAAATGTATTGTTTTCAGCTAATGCACCTTGTCTAATAACTGTGCATTGTAATGATAAGCAAGTATTCTAAGTTTCATATCTTAAATATTGTTTGAGTTATGAGCTACATTTTAATTTTTTGCACGATTTCGATTTCGACGAAGACGCGCTGCGACCGTTAATGCTGAAATTTATCTTCGAAACAGATTGGCTTAAAATGGCTGACATTTATTTATTTGACTGATTTTCTCATTTCATTTGGCTATCAAAGTGGTAGTTAATGATCAATAACATAGAATTCGAAAGAAACTCAACCGCATAAGTATTCTCCAAACGGTAAAATTGAAATTTTTAAGGCTCGTTGGTCAATCTGTTATGTTTTCAAATGCACATTATGCTTCAGAAAGAAATTTATTTTCCTTCTTCAGAAAGCAATGGTAAACATGAGTTTTTATATTGAATATAATGTTCAAATAATGGTTTTAGATTTTGTAAGAGGCTTATTGACTGAAAAAGTAGTGTTGAATATAATATTATTTGTAATAAAAGTAGCAAAATGTAAAAAATGTAGTTTTTAACTTCTTCCATACAAAATACTTAATCTCACTATAAACCAGGAGGCAACAAAGGCAAATTATGACTGTAATAAATAGCAAATGAATAGCTTTTTGTAAACTTAACAGTACATCAAATATAAAATATATTGAGAAATAAATAGAAACGCATTTCTGGGCCATAATGGGCCTTTAGGTGACCAATCAGCACAGTTTATATTACCAACGTAGTAACAGCATGGAGCTTTTAGCGCGTACCCCTAGTCTTATTTAAATTTGTTACATCTAAATGTACTTCATAGTTACTAGATAATGCATCTTTGTTTCCTCCTACTTCCTTATTATTGTTCATCCATTTCTTCTTTTCTTTCTCAAATATCCTTTTTACTTGTCATTATTAGCTGGTAGATATTTTGCGTAATTTCATAATTGTACTTAACTATCACTTAAGTTTTTACAATATTTTGTCTCCGTTTAAACACAGTTGTCTTTTCTAATTCACATTCCTAGGTTAACTTAACTTCATTAATATTTTCTTTTTGACCATTTGATCTACTATCTGTTTATTGCAAAATACCTCTTTTTTGAGAATGGTTTTGACATATTTTCAACTAAATGAACTTTGCGCATGTTTAAGCCATGAACTGTATATATGTTAATTGTTTTCACTGGGACATGACACACATAAGCTTTCATAGCTTTCTACCTAATCCCGAAATGAATTGTGTAAATATTGTTCATATAATGTAAATATATCGAATAAAAATTTTAAACCAACAGCATGGAGAACTATATATTTGTAATTGTTAATTTGATTGTACTAAGAATAATAAATAAATATCATAGATTAGATTAACGCAATCTAGTTATTGTTAGCATCAATCCTTAAGGATGAAGTATTGTATTTTGTTGTTTTTTGTTGTTGTTTTTTTTTTTGTTTTGTTTTGTTTTTTTTTTTGTTTTTTTTTTTGGGGGGGGTGGGGTTGCACGGATTTCCCATGTGTGTATATATGTTTTTATAATCGTTGTAAAGACTTTTTCTTCATTTGAAGTCTTTGCATTGTGCAGAAAAGAGAAAAATATTTAAAGATAAAGAAACAATTTTTGGTTATAGTTTAATTTTAAAGGATACAGTATGTTCATGAGATTTACAATCAGCACAATATCTTTCCATATTTGTTTCACGCTTTGTAAATAATAATAATAATGATGATGATAAAAAAATAATAATGATAATAATAATAATAAACAATTTGGAAACATATAGGTTCATCGAGAGCAATGACAGTAAAAGTAAAAAGCTGAGAATTGCAGAATCAGTTTTACAATGTCTGTTCATTAGAGATAATGAAAAAAAGCAACATATCTACCACCCCTTAGCACCGGCTTAAGTGATATTCAATATGTAACACACAAAAATAATTGAACCATTTAAATAAAAAATACGGAGGTTGAGTAAAGGACAACTTAAACAACAGTCACACAGCATTTGACTTACCAGATATCTGCAAAATGGAGACCCAGCGAAAGCAATGACAACAATACATATGAAAATTTGAGTCTTTTTTATGTCTGTTTATGACAAATAATTAGAGATGAAACATATCCCACGACGCCTAGCACCAATTAATAAGCGGTAACCAATCCTAAAAACTAAAAGTATTGGATTCAATGACTGACCCTGAACAACACTGAGAACTTATTAACCAATTGTGTTTATTATATGACATTTCTGAAATATTGTAAAGAAAAAAAATCTCATATAATCCTTATTGAGTTTAAATTATATTTATTCATTAATTACATGTATATTCATTGTTATATATGTTGTAACTTTTGCTGTATGTTTAATTCATACTGACAATGTAATTATTACTGTCAAATATACATATACAATTTGTATTGAATAAATAAAGTTTGTGCAGCTCTATAGTTAGTTTATTTTATATGTTCTATAGAATTCTTTAGATAAACATTATATATCAATTGAGCAAATTTACAGGTAATATTAAATGATTTTAACAAAATAAAAGGCAATCTGAATGACTGTCCAACACAGCAAATTTGAACGTTTGCATGAACAGTCGGTAATCTTGGTGAAATGTGGCTCACCCCTTCAAGAGAAGGCCAAAGTCACCTTAATTCGAAGTGATGCATTGAACCACACGAAAAAAAAAACTTTGTGGAAAAAGTGAATTTCTCTACAATACGTCGTAAATAATAAAATAGACAATGATGCCCAGCTTCTTGGTGATGAATTTTTTTATCATAGTCATAAAAATGTGTATAAAGATGGCTAAATATACCGAAACACACTGACAGTATTTCTTTTAAAACGACTTGTAAAGTCATTAATATTTATTTTATTTTTTAATATTTATGTCTATAATCCCCGCCTATTTTGATGTCGCTCATTAAAATTGCTGTGACCTTACTTCCAAAACTTAAACAAAAAACAAAACGCCATCGGGCACATATAATGTCATCTTTCAAGATTTAGGTTTTCAAAATTTTATCATTTTTATTATTCAATGACAATGAGTTTATTGATTCAAGGCCTCAAGCCCAAAACAACATATACATATCAATACATTTACATACAATGGAATATAGTACAAGTAGCATTATGTTTAACAACAATCTTGTTACTATCTAGTGATTTACCTTATCATATTAAGTCATGTTCTAACTATTTTTCTTTCTTTCTTATTCACTTAATACACATGCAATACATGTAAAATGACTTTGGAACAAATCTCATTAGAAAAATGCTCTGGAATTTTTCCAAACCACATGTCGAGGCCGACATTTATACTTAAAATTTATATAACAGTTAGTTTCAACCCATTTACAGTTATACAATTATGCCTATTGTCTTTAATATCTAATCACGTGGACAGGTTAACTGGTCATTAAAAGAGTCAACGCTTTTGATTTTGCATACCAGATAGTTTATCAATATCAGTTACTTGACATTGATTCATTATTACTTCCATTTTGTTTGATATTATGAAAATGGAATATATTGTTTGATTTTTATTAACCTGGCAATTGCTAACTGATTATACGGTCAATATATATACATTGTATCATAGTTTGAAGACCTTTCTGTTGAAAATGTGTCAGGGTTAAATCGTATACATATACATGCACAGTGCGTTAACTGCATGGAGTGCGGGTATTAGTTACCCGCACTCCAGAGCATGCCCATTGATTGGCTCGTTTTTGCTGGGGTTTACATATTGTGACGGCAGAGAAAGGGAAATTGACAGAAATGTCATATTCAGATGTTCGTTCATTGGTTCATTTTTGCCGGGGTTTCATATTGTGACAACAGGGAACGTGCTTTTATGTTTGACTATGATACAAAAGAGAAAGAACACCAAAACACTCGGCAATCTGATTAATACTCGGGGGCTACGCCCCCTCGTACAAATCAGATAGCCTCGTGTTTCGGTGCTCTTTCTATTACATATATACAGCAACCGCAGCGTTTTCCCTGAAAATCCTTACTGCGGATGTGGTACATGTGAAGTAAATTGCAGAAACGACTGTTGCCCGGAAAGATCTGAGCCATTTTGGTCCAACACATAAAAAATGCATATGAACAATGCGCTTACGCTCAGTTTCG